AAACCAAGTTCTCCCAGATAGCCCATTGGATTTGGGCAATCATTTTTAAGGTGTCAGAAAGAAGAAAAAAGATCATCCTGTTTTTTCTTCTTCTTCCTGGGCCAAGGAAGGAAGGAGAGTGAGGAAATCATCCAGCATATAAATGCATTTCCAATCAGCCCGAAGCAGAATTTCTCCTTGGTGATTATCTTAAACTGAGCTGTGATTAGATGACATCAGCAGGATGTGATGAGCCTGAACCCTGAAATGTCAGATTAGTCCAATGTCTCAAAAAAAAAATTTCCCTCCCCTTTCCAATTCAAAGTTAATTATAACCCATCCTTCTCTCTCAGCTTAAAATCAACCAAATATATTAATTGGTGGCTACTTCTAAGGCTCAGGAACTGCCTACATTGTTTCAAATGGTAACAGAGAGGGGTCAAAATATTAAAATTGGTTGTTTGGAAAAGCTCAGATCATCCATCCATCAGTTGGAATTTCTCTCTTGCCTGAGTTTCAGATGATGTTCAATTTCAGACTAATCTGCGGGAAACTCATATATTGCTTTCTTCTTCCATGGCAGCCTGAAGCCCAAAGTTGGTTTACACTAGGAAGTTGAAAAAACACTGAAAACAAGCCACTTCCTTAATTCTGCCAAGAAAATTATATGGAAGCCATCAAACTTGACTCAAGGGCCTCTTTAATGTTACTGTTTGGTTATAATTCCTGCTGGTTGTCCCACTACCACCACAGAATTCCTGACCGTGCCCATGCATCTTGTCCAGCCTTTCCCAACCCAGCACCCCCCAAATAAGTTAAGCTCAACTTCTGTATTGGGTTGTGCTCCAGCTTCTCTAGAAGGCATCAGATTCAAGAAGAGATGAACCGTTGGATCCTGAAAATGGATTCTTGCTCACTAACCTAAAAGGTCTTTTCTAGCCCTGTTCTTTGAGAAGTTTTATGAGGGGACACCACAATCTGGATGTTGACTCTCCTCTTTTTTAAAAACAAAGTTCTAAAATCTTGGACCAGACTCCATCTCTCTTTTTTTCCCCCCCTGCCATCGCTATTGAATTTTTATGAGCCGCTGCCTCCTTTTCAGGGAAGGCTCTGTGGGGAGAAGTGATCAACTGTGGCCGCCAAAAAAAACAAAACAAAACCTGAGATATTAAAAAAATAATAATAATCTCAATTGGCAAGGCAGCCACAATGAAACAATCTCCCTTGAGTGCCATCAGGGCTCCTCTCCATTTAAATGCTAATTTTCACCTCTAACCCAGGACCTCTCTAAATAAAACAAAGCCCCCGAATGTCTCGGAAGGTGATTTTCTTGACTTAATCATGATCAGGCTTCTTCTCTAGGGGGCAAAAATAGATTTAATAACTTACAGAGTTCCTTAATCTCCAAACCTTACAGGATTCCTCTAGAAAGTAATTCACCACCTATGGCCTTGGCGTCTCCCATTCCACCCTGCTCTATTTATGACTTGAGCCTCCAGTTGTCTGTGTATTCTTCTGTCTCCTCTTTCTCCAGTCAGTTACCTGCATAAATCTGACCTCCTCTTTTGGTTCCTTTTTTAATAGAAAAACACCAATTTTCAAATAAACATGATTTGGTATTGAGAAAAGAAGAAAAGCAATCTTTTGATGAGGACTGCAATTGTCTGTAACAGCCAGTCAGGAAATTATCATACATTTTTAAAAAGAAAAGATTTGGAAGTTACTAGCTATGTTATCTTTGGCATGTATTCTGTCTATGATTATTCCATTAAAATCTGCTCCTAAAATCATATATTTTCTCTACCCTGATCTTCCAAGAAGATCATCTTATCAAAAAAAAAGTATTTGTGATTACATTTGAGGCATATTCAAGCATCCAATAAGCGTTACACATTATTATTGTTCATTTGTTTTCTTGAATTTCTGATTACAGTAGTTCAGATCGCTGTTGGCTAAATCATTTCCAATTCTTTCCTCCAGCACAAGCTGCCTCATATACTGATTTCAGAATTAATTAATTAAACATACTTATATAGCCACCCATCTACCAGAAGGAACTCTGGGTAGTGAATAAGAATTGAAACCATAAGGCACTGGGTTAGGCTGAGGATGGGGCCCAAGAATTGTATGATCCTGTGGATTGGTGATTGTGGGTCAGGTACCTGGTTTTCTTGTTTCTGGTGGTGGTGGTGGTGTGAGCCTCCCAGAGTTGTGTTCCACAAGATTGGTGGCCATATCATTCTTTTAAATAAATAAATAAAACAAAAATAAATAAATAAAACAATGTTGAGGCCCCGGTAAACCTTGCATCTGTCAACCACACCATGCTGGCTCCATCAATACCCCAGCCCCATTGCCTGGGAGAAAAGTCAGGTCTTCACTGCTTTCCTGGAGGTCAACAGGGTAGGGGGTATCTGTATCCTGAACCTTAAGATCCTGAACCTCAGAAGCAGCCTTTTCTATGGCATGCTTGGTCCATCCCATCCAGAATGGTCCCTGGCCAGGAGAGACCGAACTATAGCCCTCCAGAGATAGACTCCAGAGTCCTTCAGTGCTGGCCAGTGGCTCACTCTGGGAATGAAACACCCTTTGTGAGATGGGGAGCAACTGTTTTGGTTGTTTTCTATTCCAGTCACCTCCTGCTTTGATCAGAATGAGGGGAGAATGACCCAACCAGGCTGAGCCCTGGTGAGTGGCATCTCCCAGGTTAGCTACGAGTGAAAGGGGGCCATTTAGTTTTAGGGAAAACAATTTAGGTCTGTAGCCTTGTGGTGACCTGAGAGTCTCATGGCAGAACAGCCTCCTAATGTCACTCTGTGTTTTTCAAACTTGGCAACCTTAAGATGTGTGGACTTCAACTCCTAGAATTCCCCAACTAGCATCAAGAGAGTCCTGCACTGCCATTTCTCCTGGAATGGACCTCTCAGACTGCAGAACGGAGAGTGTCGTATTTTTGTTCCCATTCAAAGAAAAGAGAAAGAGGGAGATC